GGTTTGTTATACATTATGGTATACCACCATATAAGTAAAATACTATCCAATGCACATTTGTTAATCAGGAAACTACAGTGTGTATTAGCAAACCAAACTCACTGACACTGAGGCAATGGGGACTCATAGCAGCTCCCTGTGGTAACTGTACAGGAATTGAAGTCCCAGGCTTTCTCGGCTGGAGCTGCTGGTGGTTTCGAATTGCTGGCCATGTGGACACCAGCCAATGGGTAACCACTACACCAGCAGGGCTCTTCGTGTATGACAGTGATCCCCCAAAACCACAGGAGGGTGGTAGGTACACCCTTGTGGAATTCCAAGTGAATGTTCACCTACATTCTTGGTATCAATTCTTTGCTATAAATACTATGAAGCTTTAAATTATTAAAAAGCCACTCTTAAAGTGATTTTCCACTGATGATAACTATAAAAGTATTGGGCCTACCATTTTCTCAGTTCATATTGCATTAATCTAGGCCCATTAAGCCCCTGATAACAATACTTCTTATATGATTATGATTTTAGATTTACATTAGAGATAAGCAAAAGAAAGGATAACTGCTAAAACAATGGTACCTAATCTATTTAGCACAGGGATTTTGCACTTTCTTTCTCTGCTTTATTTCCACACCTTCCATCCTGCTGCCAAGCTACACACAGGTGTTTTTCTTTACCGTCAAAAGAGTCATTTCACCAAGTCTGAGAAACGTCCCTACTGCATTACCCTTTTGTTTCAACCCCAAAGTATCAAATGAACCCTAATTCTCTGGCATGGCCCCCCAAATTTCACAGAACAGGGGAAAATACCCCACCAATATCCTGAAACAGAAGTTTATTTTTAAATAGTTTAGTAACATCAAAGAATATGAATCTATATCTGAAATGTGCTCAAAGCAGGACTGGCTTATTTAAATGTCCTGTGCTGGCAACAAATCCTCCCCTACCCACTTCCCTGTTCTACCTGTGGAATTTGGTAACCCTCAGAATCATGTGGATTTTACCTGGAAAAAATATGCATGGAAATACAGCGAGGCTTAGGAAATTATTAAATGAAATACATACACTATAGAGAAAAATGTTGGACATGTAACAAATCATATTTGGGGGCATGAATCAAAGTTGGCTCTGCCATCTTCAGTCCATATAAAGGGACCTGGAGGACTTCAATACACATTTGGACCAGACTCATGTTCCCCAGAGAGAGACTTTTACTGGTGTCAAAGATAGGACACAGCCAGACTTCAGATGGTGTACCCTCCCTCCCCTCAGCATTTCAGAACAAATTCACGTGATCTTAGCATTTACCTCTTTCCTATCCTAGCAAAGGTCTGATGACCTGATTCTTAGGCCTAATCATATCTCTTTTTTTCTTTTTCTTTCTTTAATCTCCCTATTTGGGATGCAGAGGAGTGGCAGGAGAATGTTGGACACATCTTCACTTTTGAAAAAGCACACGCTGTACTGGGTCACTCCTCTCATTTGTCCTTTCAGGGAAACAGTGATAGGATGATGCTAGAGAAAGACAGAGACGGGGTCGAGTGGAAAAGGAGAAGGTAGCTGGGGAAACAGGCAGGTCTATGACAAAATGTGGGTCGGGGGATTGACGAAGAAAAGTCTGTTTCACAGGCTGGGCGTGTGGATAAGCATGACCCTGCGCTAGGAAGGCCCCGGGAAGCCAAAGTAAGGTGCGGCAGAAAGACACAGACAGATAAGTATGGTTCTCAGGTCTACTTCCAGCCATCTAGGTTCTGAATGCTGTCCAAAGTCAATGGTAAGTTGTTGTTGTTGTTTTATTCTCAAATGGAAATTTTATTTCCTTAGGTCGTCATGTGCTTTTTTTAGTTATAAAATAACACGATGTCTGTGGGGGCATTTCTAAGTCATTACACACATGGCTAGGCTTATAAAGATTGTTCTAGCATTTAAAGCCTTGGCAATTTATTTTATTACTGAGCGATAGGGTACACACACACACACACACACGCACACCACTGTTTTCTATGTTTGTTTTGCCACCATTGTTAAACTGAAAAATTCCCAAGGCTGGAGATTACTCCTTATATTTTCACCATAACTCACTATAGTGTTGGAACATATGGGAGAACAGGAAACACAAATATTTCATTTTAAATAATATTTATCAGTAGGTGGGTCAATGGACTATAAATTGTCAGTGAAGGGAAAATCAGCTAATGAATGTAACTATGAGTCTCTCCTCATGCCTTCAGAGATGGACTTAAAAGTCACGTCCTTGAAGAGACCTTCCCGGGACAATCACGTGCCAGGAAATAGATTTTTTTTTTAAGGTTTTCTATGAGACCAAAAAAATAAATGCTTCTGTGTAACATGTGTCAAAGTCTAACATACAAATGCTTGCATCGTGGCTGATTCAAGCCACTAACGCGGCAGGGCTATCACCGACATGCCACTGAACTTGCAGTAGGCAGAGAGCGTGCGCGCAGGGCACAGAGGTGTCCAAGCAGCAGTTCGGGCTGCCTCCTGCCCCACAGGGCGCCTGACCCCACTGTCAGCTCTCCGCCTCCCTTCCTGAGTCTATACCTCTGCTTTGGGCTCATATGAATACATATATCTCCTTCTGCTAGGCCACGCGAGCTTTTCTACCTCCACTGTAAGTTCCCTGAAAGAGAATTGCGCCATTTATCTACCACCGAGCCTTTCAGAGAAAGCTAACCAAGTGTGTGTATGTATATAAATCTACCAAACCTGTCCAATATCGGGAGCTTTTCAACAAACTACGGAGTCTATTCATCTCTTCAATTGTCAGGCACTTGGAATTGCCCATTTGATAAAGGCCCTCTCTCTGTGAGATAGAGATTGTGGACAGGGAAGGCCTGGCTTTCAACTGAAAGGAAAACACTTTGCTCACCCTCTCTCCCGTGGCTGCCAGGAGCATCTTTAAGTGGAAGCCTTGGGGGACAGCTTCTGATCCCTTAGGCTAGAAGGCATTGGGCACATGCTCCCGGGTCTCCTCATTCTCGTGGAACCTGGAAGGTGGGTCTGATGTCTAATGTGGAAGCAGCCACCTGGTTCCAAGAGGAAACCTCAGGAAAGCAGGCAGCTCTACAGCATGGGGCTGGCACCCAGAAGGCTCTGGAAAGAGAGCTGATTCTATTGCCCGCCTCTGACTTGTTACATTAGGGGACAATAACCTTCTATCTATTTTTAGCTATTATCATTCTAGGTCTCAATTAGAGGTGAGCTGTGTCTTAAAGGATATAGTATGTCACAACCTAAGACAGACTTAAAGAACAATGCAGGTTTCTATGTATTGACAACGAAGCACTGCACGAGTCCATGCAGCCTCCTTACTTGTCTCTCCAGAAGTTGTGACCCCAGTGTCCACACACATCCTCGATCCCAGTCTTCACATGATCAAAAAACTAAACGAGAGAGAAAAAGCAGGCTGATTGATTCATTTTCACCAAACCTCGGGAATGTTCACTCTTTCCACAGACGTCGCAAGCCGACCGGTGTTTTGTTTATTCCCTTGTTGCTAATGAAAACACAAGCAATTTGTTTGCAGACGGATGCATTTATCCCATCAATATTAGGTAATGCTTGGACAATTTTACTCAGGATTTTCAGTTTACTCAGAACTTTGGAAAACATTACGACAACAACTTCCCAGTAGAAAGATTTTCAAGTTGAAGGAAGCAGCAGAAGATTCCCTGTCTCTTCGTGCAGGAGGCTGGCTCGCAGGATAATTCCGAGCAGGGCCAGTGCAACTGTGTTCACTCCACATTCCCTGGGAATCATCCCCATCCCTCCTTCCCTGTTCCCTCTCCTTCAGGAAATGAGTGGCTTAATGACAAGTTATTCAACCGAATTATTAATTTTTTCTTTTCTTTTATCATCCCAATAGTTGCGCTCAGTTGAAACGTACCCGACAATGAATTTCTTCACTGACAGCCTGCTGTTTCTTATTGGCTCTCTTAACATCCAGAAACTCCACTAGCGGTCGAATTGTTATGCCCTGTACAGAAAAACAAAACAAAACCACAAGGGAATTGTTTCAACAAATAAAACAATGCAAGAGTCAAGAATAACTTTTTGTCTCCTAAGATTTAACACCCATCAAAGGCAATTCTACCGCCCCAATTTTAGACATTCGATGTAGCATTGTGTTAAGGTTTTCTTTCCCCTCATTCCTAACTGGCAGGTTTTCAGGAGATTCGCACTGTAGGCTAGGTGTTGGACTGATAACTACAAGGTTGGTGGTTCAAACCCACCAAGTGGTTCACAGGAGAAAGATGAGGCTGTGTGAGGTCCTGTAAAGATATACAAAGGCCTAGGTGGAATGTTAAAAA